CACACACGCGCCCGTTGTGAGTTTTAAGCCACCGGGTCCGGGACGCGAACCACGGTCGACTACGTGGGAGTTCAGCGACACAGCCATTACGCTAACTGCTGGTTCCTTCGATTCGAGTTTCTTAAAGTAAGCTACATCAGCTAGCTGTCTCTGGGACGGGTAGCCTTAAGGGCCCATCACGCCCAAAACGTGAGGGGTGTTCTCCCTAGGCCGGCACGCTCAGCAAGTCAGAGGCCACTCCACTGTGGAAGCCAGGACCTGGGTCTGCAGATGCACACAGCCTGCACGCGCCCGTGAATGAGTGGGCTGCCGCTGGCTAGTCTGGAGAACAGCCTCCTTCCACAGATGTCTCAAAGATTAGAACACCGACCGTGCGCCCTCGGGCCACGAGGCGAGAACTGGTGCAGAACCTCTGCGGGGCTGGGAGTGGCCGCGCCCTCGCTGTGCGCCTCTGAGCCGGCCGCCCCACCCTGACTCCTCTCTGGCCCCCTCTCGGCCCACACCGGGGAATCCAGGCTCCGCTCTGAACAGCCCGATGCAGAGCGCCGGCCTGTCCCGCCGTGGTGCTCCTGTCCTGGGGAGAGCCTGCACCTGCTCTTGGCTGACTGCCCACGTCCGGGGCTGACCCCGTCTCAGAACAGAGCCATGCCGGCCCAGAGCCCACCGACAGCAGAGCACCTCCACAGCTCCCTGGCCAGCCGCCCGCCACACACACCCCAACCGGACCCACCCCGCCAGGCCGGCCCGCAGCAGCTCTACAGGAGCAGCCGGGCAGCCGGCCCTCCACTCGACCCCGAGGGGCCTGGAGAGGCTGGGCTGCCAGGTCCCTTACGTTCACAAGGTGCTGCGGCTGTGCGAAGTCCACAGGAGCCCGGGCGGCAGCGTTCACATGCCCCGGGTAAAGCCCTCCGGTTACGCTCCCGTTCACGGCTCCGCCGACTCCGTTAGGGACCCTGAGGTGACGGTGGGGGCCGCCATGGCTGAGTTACCAGGGGTACTTTTCCATAAAACTTAGCCCATAGAGAGGCTGGCGACGTCCAGCACCTGCCCGCCGACATCTGAGCCCCGGCAGACGTGTCCTGGAGGGCCGTGTTCTGTTAACAGAGCGAGAGCCACGCCGTCGCTACTGAGACGACCTTCCTGCTTACCGGGCTCCCCAGCCCCAGCGGCACAGTGAGAGGCAGGGCCCACTGGGAGACCTGCACCCTTGCTACGGGGGGACGTGGCTGGACCTACATCCCCCAGAGAATGGGAGTCATGCAGGAGTGACCGTCCCAGCGCCAAGAGCACGGAGCAGCCGGAAGGTGCGGGCACGTGCATGGAGCAGAGGCTGCCTTCGGGGGAGGCACTCGAGCAGCGGCAGGCACCGCTGAGAAGGGGAAGGGCGAGCCCTGCAGGCTGCCCCGACGGCCGGGCTGGCAGTGGCCTCGGTCCAGCAGCCGACCGTGGTCTGCATCTGGTCCTGCTCACCAGCACACCAGGACGTGTGCGTGGGTGCGTGCGCTCGACAGCTGGCAGGACAGACATGAAGAGAACAGACGCGTGACTTCCCACGTCCCTCTCCCTGTCTCTCTCCAGTGAGTACACGCACCCTAGAGCAAAAACTGGAGATTAAAAATAAAAAGCAAATGTTTCTGGAACATTACATAACTTTATTTGCATGAAAACGTCACTCTTTAATCCCATCTTCCACAAACTTTCTGAGGCCCCCGCATATCACTAGCTACTTCCAGGGGAGGAGGCATCCCTGGGGCCCCAGCCTGTCGGGGGAGAACG